AGACACACTAACACCCAACTAACACACACACACACACACACACAGCTTGTACACTTGTATAGCTAAGCAAAACAGAATTTCTCTTTTTGTTTCTAATATAGGAAAAAAAATAATCATGCCACAGCTACAGCTGTCAGTAAAGAATCGTAAGATGATCCCCACCAGAAAAACAAATAAATATTCACACCTTTAAGCACACACACACACAGCTGCTCTGACATGAATAAGACAAGGGGTTGATGCTTGCTGTTGCAGAATTACATCATCTGCTTGGGGTCCTGGAAAGGATTATTACAAACAACACACACACACAAGAACACCCCCTGAAAACCTTCTTGTCCTACTTAAAAACAGACCTGAAGCCGGGGGTGAGCGAAGAACTCRTTGAGGAAGTCCATGAGGAGGTCGATCTTCAGGCAGCTGACGCACAGCACCACGTGTTTCTCTGTTTGGGCCCGGTAGCGGCTGTAGTTGCCTCCAGATTTCTGCCGCTCCATCCACAGAAAGGCCAGCTGCTCGAACTGCGTTCAGGGCGACATCCATCACATTCAACAGATGGAAACTGGATTATAGCTGCAATACAGTGCAGTCCCAGGTGGTTTATGAAAAGAAAATGATGCCTTGTGTGCAGTGTTTCCATTTGATTAGGGAGAGTGTTGTGGGGGATTAAGATAAATGGAAATTTCAGGATTGTGGATGGATGGAACATGATAGCAGACATCATCAAGGGGAGGTAGGTGATGGAAAAAAAATCCAGACTTAAATAAAACGGTTTGGATGTGTTCGGGTGCATCAGTGGGTTGATGGATGGCAGAAAGTGAACAAATAAAGTGGTGCAAGTGGAACAAAAGYTTACCTCTGTCATGACACAAGGAAGATTTTAATTTGACCTTTGAAAGATTTGGATCTTATGAAACAGGGTTTTGTGGAAAAGTAAATCAGATTGTGTTGTGTTGAGTTAATGACAACTAAATAAAGTTCAAAAGCATCATCAGGACATACAGATCTGCAGGACGATTGTGCTTTTGCAACGGTAGATTACTGATGTAACTATCAAGCCTCTATCAGATTGTTTCAAACTAAAAATGATGAAAGTGAGTTGTAATCAGGGGTGCAACTTGACATTTTGGCAAAGGGTGGCACAGGGGTGGCTAAGATGTGTTTTTTTATTGAGCTCATACAAATAAAGAAAAGTATTCTGGATTTGACTATTCAAGATGGTTGCCACAGCTAATTCCCATTGGCTTCATGTCAGTTGTTTTAAGAAAAATTGAGCTGAAATTTTGTGTGATCTTAGCAAAGAATCATAAAAATATACTGAACTAGTCACATGTTATCATTCAGCCATTTTTAGATACACAACGCTGAATACTAGTGTATAAGTAGGGAAAAAACTCAAGACGGCCATCACAATAACTTTAAAAGGCTATAATTCAGGCATTTTTAAGGCCCCCACGTACTCGGATATACTTTGGTCCACTGAGTCCGCGCGGACTCGAGGCGGACTCAATGCGGACTTGAAGCAAACATCCGCGGACTGGTTCGCGCAGAGATCAATTTTTTTAAGTCCGCGTCCACGGTGCGCACAATGGCATGTACTGTTCTGGGTGCGACACCAAGCTGATAAAGTTGAAAATCGGTGTCCTTTGTGGACGAAATGGAGTAAAATCTTGAAAAGCGTCTCATGGAGGAGATTAGAAAACTTTATGACGCGTCAATGATGGAATATAAAGACTTTCAGCGAGCAACAAATTCGTGGGAGGAAATAGCTCAGAGCCTGGGTAAGGTAGTTCTTTTCTTTTTTCTTTTCTTGTTTTAAAGCTAAAATGCAAACTATCTCTTCCTCCTGATTCTTGACATCTTGACTGAAATTGCGAGAAATTAAAGAATTCGTCAGGCGGTCAGTAGGCTCGAGTATGGAGTGTCAATTGTCCGCTGACGATACGTGCGGAGTCTGCGCGGCTCATGGAATGCGCACAGTACGCCCGAGTATGTGGGAGCCTTTAGACTTAGTAAGATGACATTTGTTGTGGAGTAGCTAAGAATGATCACATGCCGATTACCAATGCTAAATCTAAACTAACCAGTTATGCTAACCATAACGCTAAGGGCCAAAATTCAGCCATTTTTAAACATACACAGCTAAAAAAATATATAGTATCATAGAACAATCTTTAGCAAAATCTAAATGCAAATACAAAACCTAAGATCCCCCTTGGATATGGCCAAATATGTGGCACTTGCCACATCTGGYACATGATAAAATATATTTGCAAATCAAAATTTATTTTTAAACTAAAAGTTGCACTGAAGAGTGTCAAGGATTTGTGACCTGTGTCTCCATGCAGCTAAATCCAGGTCATGACAGGACTATGGGTCAGAGAGAGACACACTAACACCCAACTAACACACACACACAGGTTCGCCCAGCTATACATTTGGGGACATTCCATTGACTTCTATTACATTTCTTCAGCCTAACCCTGACCACAAACCCTAAGGCTAACCTCACAGGTACCTTTCTGACCCTAAAAATAACCTAAACTCAATTCACACCTTGGTCCTAAACCCAACCCCCAACCCACCAATGGCAATTAAACCAAATGGGGACTCGATTTAGGTCCCCAAATGTACCAGCTGTCCCCAAAGTTAGGCGTTTTGTTTTAAAATTGCCCCCAAAATCACCAGAAACACCCCCCCACCCCCCACACACACACACACATAGGCAAAAGGGTGGAGATGGGGCTAGCAGGGGCCAATGTCTAAAAGTCAATGGGTATTTATGGATGAAAGATGTGGAAAGGAGGAGATGGAGATCCCGCCAATGCTGACGAGAGCATCATTATTTTATGCGCTGACTCATGCAGTTTTAGAAAATTGTCCTTATGCTCAAAGATCTTTGTTGTTCTGAGTGCTTTGTGAAGACATTTACAATCGCTCGAGCCACAGATGAAACACAGTSGGAGCTTTATCAAAAGCTGGTCCATCATGCCCACGTAGGATGCCGTCCCACATTCAGAGCAATGGCAAGCAGTTTCAACGTTTTATAAAAACTATACTGGCTGAAAATAYTTCTTTTTATCTGTGTGCAATGACATTTTTGCCCATCAGAATGTTATAATGAAAAAATGTCATTATCACTTTGATTGTAGTGGTCAAAATTAATACATTAAGAAATGTAAAATTTGATATTGACCTTAACAGATCTCAGTAAATAGACTAAATAGACATAAAAATCAGTAACTTATTATTTTGAGTCAAATTGATCATTTTTATTGTTGTAATGAAATCTGTTATCATTGTTAATACTCAAAGATTTCTTAAACATTACTTTCTCGATTACATCTTTGATTTCTAGAATAAGCCTACKCAATGAAAATACATTTCTTACTAAAAGAAAACAAAAACTACCATTTCCAATTCAACTGYTGTCACAAACAAATAAAAAATAATCCAGATAGTATCTATGTGATTTTATTCTGTAATTTTATTTATAGWATTTGTAGTTGCTACTTGTGGTAAACAAATTATGACCACTTAAAATTCAGTTGGAGCTCTTTAAATACTAAAAAGACTTTACAGAAAACAAAAAGGAAAGTAGACTTTAACACCAACATTCAGCATCACTTGTGACTTATTGGTTTTGTGTTTTTCTCTGCCCAGGGAGAACTCCTCTAACTGCAGGTAGAACAGAGAAAATGAATCCTATTAGCACCCTCACATGTTCAGGGAGAAGCTCAGGTATGGCAGCTACTCCAGGGATTAAAAAAAGTTAACACAAATATACAGAGCCACCAGTGGGACACAATCAAGTTTATGCATTTCAAAAGGTGATTTTGTGGGGTTTTTTCTGTGTAAACAACTCAACTGGTTCTTCGTCATAAATTTCTCTTTAAGCAGCGGCTCAAAGACAGGGAAGAGATTGAGTCTCTTGTCGCTAAAGTGAATAAAAATAGTGCTGTAAATCTATGTAGGATGTAATGACTCATCAGATTATTGTGTGAAAAAGGGGAGGGGGGGCTTCAAGAATTATCACTGATCAGGGAGACAACTTTAATGTCCTTCAACACATCAAAGGGAACTAATGAGATTTTGAAGGAGCCAAAGTCATCCCACTGGTTTATATTCCATTAAACACACTTGTGTTCATCTGAACTTCAATGTAAACTGGAGGTTAAACAGATCTGTTTGATGTTTGAAAGGTTTAACAACATGTAAAGCGAGGTCAAATGGCTTTTTAGCTTCCGCATCATAATAATCAGCTTTTCGAGCGATCCCTCCATTGATCTCACCTGGATGGGAAGAACAATGAGCGCCACAAAGATCATAATGACGACCAGCAGCTGCGACGGCCAGATCTGCGGGGTGACATCGCCGAAGCCCACCGTGGAGAAGGTGACCACGCAGAAGTAGAGCGAGTCGAACAGGGTCAAGTTGTTTCCGGCCCTCTCCAGGTGCTGGATGCCGCAGATGCTAATGATGAGAGTTCGCGGAAACGGTGAAAGGAAAGGCAAAGTGAGCATCAAAGAAACTCCAAATGCTGTGAGAGGTATAGGCACTCCCGGGAGCCATTGTTTATGAGAAGTGTTTTTTTCACACCTGTGCAAATATATGTGACTTTTTATGTGTAAAGATGGGGGCGGCTGCATGCTTGGCTGACTTTGTGGGGGAATTTGTGCAAGAAAGTGTGCCGATTATCACCGTCTTTAGCAGATATGTATGTGCCAACCGGCAAATGTCAAGCCTGAAGTGGTCAGAAAGCTTAACTCAAGCTTGCTTGTAAAGGAAAGACATCCTTGATTTTTCAAGCTTTTGCCCCACATTCGAAGCTAGTTGTCACATCCTCCACTGCACTGAAGCAATCACCGGCTGTCATTAAAGTGCACCATTCCACTCGGACAATAACCAATTACCTCCCTGCTTTCTGCCATTCTCTCTCAGCTCCAGTAGACGCAGCTTTCATTCCCTTATATTACTGTTTTCTGTACAGCACATCTCGTCCTTTTCTCTCGGATACAGTTCACCTCCTCTTCAATCTCCATYTAACATCTAGCCTTCCTTCACTTGTTGCCTCATCCCCGCTCAGTTTGGGGCCAAGAACGTTGGTACTCACCATGTAAACATAAGACAGACCAGCGTGCTGATGAGTATCACCACTTGGTTAAACATGGCTGAGTGTGTCCGCTGGATCGCCCTGTGGAGATCATTCTACAAATCAATGAAAAGATGAAACCAATGAAAATTATGATATATATATA